CATATATGTCTGGATCAAGATTGTCAAAATTGCTGTGCTAAAAATCATATTGTTTTAATTACTCTTGATTTATATTCAGGCAAGTCTTTGAGACTGGGACTTAAGAACCTTAGACTTCAATCAATAGCCTGTGTTCATATCCTAATTCTGTCACTTCGAAATAAGCTTTGTATGTAACCTTGTATAGGTTAGTCACTCTTTAGGCCTAGGTTTCCTTTACTGGAAAATATTAATAGTAATATCTACCTCATAGGTTGTAATGAGCTGAATACAATACCTGGCACTAAACTCTCAATAATTTTAGGGGGTCATGCTGCTGCTGGTGCTTTTTAAATCAATACTTGTAAACACTTCTTCCTCTGCTTCCCTTGGTCACTACTTCCCTCAAAATTCAGATGACAGGTTGAAGTCTGTTCGTCTATCTCTGAGGAACAGTCAGTGTCCAAGTGGAGCCTGGTCTTTCTGGTTTCTTAGGGTATGAAATCTACTTTCTGCCCGTCTGGTGGTGAGCTCACGAAAGGTCGACTTTCTCACCCTGTAGTAAAGCCTTGTACCTCTGCATGTGCTCTGCCAGGACCTGTGAAGGCAGGTATCCAGCTCTAGGAGGAATGTAGAAAGCCCACCGTGTCTCTAAGTCTAAATAGAGTTCTTTAAACCTACCCTAGAAACAAGAACGTGCTGTATTATGATTCCTACCTGACTCCTACATATGTTTCTCAATTGGTTTAGAACATATTCTTGTTTTATGATTTATTATCTTCAAACACCTACAGTTGTTATGCAGGAAAATATTTTTCATTTATCTAACAAATATTTGTTAGTGGAAGAGGAAGCCAACCTGGAAGCCAAATCCAGACTTGCAGACAAATCAGGCCTAAGGATGGATTTTAAAAATTTTTTTTAACATTTTTAAATCATGAGATTTCATTTCCTTTGTATTAGAGAAGCAGGAGTGTTGATGTTATGTGATAGAGATATGTAAGCAAGATTTATTACTTAAGTTTTCTGTTTTTTGTTTTTTTTTTTTTTAGAGACAGGGTCTCACTTTGTTACCCAGGCTAGAGTGAGTACCATGGCGTCAGCCTAGCTCACAGCAACCTCAAACTCCTAGGCTCAAGCAATCCTACTGCCTCAGCCTCTCCAGTAGCTGGGACTACAGGCATGCACAGGCATGCACCACCATGCCCGGCTAATTTTTTCTCTATATATTAGTTGGCCAATTAATTTCTTTTTATTTATAGTAGAGACGGGGTCTTGCTCTTACTCAAGCTGGTTTGGAACTCCTGACCTTGAGCAATCCGCAGGCCTCGGCCTCCCAGAGTGCTAGGATTATAGGCATGAGCTACCACACCTGGTCATAAGTTTTCTGTTTTTAACAACAAAAATATCAAAGGGGAGGGGGATCCATGGTTAACCATGGACCTTTAAGCAAAATTTTGTAAACAGCCCTGTTTCTAATATATGGTCTCAGCTAAGCACCCTAGTCTCTGTAGTAGGTTATTGCAATACTGCTCTAACAAAAGAATATTGATATAATGTGGAGATAATTGGATATAAAAAATTAGTGGTACCCCCCCCCCCATAATGTATAAAATATCCCTAATGGAATTGAACTTGCGGCATGGAGGGAAAAATCTCTTTCCACTTCCATCTAGCTACTTTTCTAGTTTTAATTGGGGTTTATAAAAGAAACTGGAATTTCAAGAGATGGGGTAGAAACCAAAAGATGTTACTAACCAGTTCCTTTGTTTAGATATTTTCCAGGTTGCCTCACACTGTGTTCATTGTATGCCTCCTATCTTGATGAAGAGTGAGCTTTGGGAAAACATCGTTAGCCTGTGATTTTACTTTTCAAAAACTTTGTAATTCGTATAAAATTCAAAAAGCTATGAAAAGGCATAAATCTCTCTGACTTTTCCCCCTATTTCCAGACACCCAGTTTCCTCCTGTAAAGGCATCCACTATATCTGTTTCTTGTGTCTCCTTCCAGAGTCTTGCTATGCAAGATTTCATATACAACCACATGAATGTGTGGGATATAATGCTTTACATATACACATGGAAGTGGTGGTACTTAACAGTTTATCTTGGCTCTCTTTCAGTCTTGAACATTTCTGCCACACTGCCCTTTTGTTGCCCTTCATGGGGGCTGTTCCAGGTTATATTCCCACCTACAGGCAGGGTGGTGAGTGCTCTCACCCTCCCCACACGGCGCCGCCTTGTGCACCTCCCGTGATTTTTGCCTGCCTGAGGCAGAAATAGTACATCATAATTTGAATTGCACTTGCATTTGTTATTTTTGCGATATCATAAATTGAAGTTGGGAATCTTCTTGAGATAGATTTAAAATGTATTTTCCAGTTTATCTCTCAACTTAGTTTATGTGTCTATCGCCATGAAAAAAACCATTTTAAAAATGTGTATCAATTTACAAGTCGATTTTCTTATGGCATTTAGATTTTGTATCATTTAGAAAAGTCTTCTTCAGCTGAGAATTCATGGTTTTTTTTTTTTTCACTTAACATTAAAAAAAGTCTTTTGACCATCTTGAATTTTAGAATAAGGTTAGGAGGCATGCAGGTTTGCTTTTGAGGCAAAAATGTCTGTTATAGAAAGTAATGCTTTTCTGTGGATAACTTGGAAAAATACGGGAGGGAATGAAAACCACCCACCATCCCCAGCACCATATCATCTGTAACAATCGGGATCATTTATACTGCATCTCCGTTTTTTTCTCTTGAGATTAAAATATGAACACAACATTTTTATTTTAAAACCACCTCACTCTTTTTAAGGGAACGCGTGGCCCAAGTGTTAGGCTCACCTTTAATTCTTGGTGCAAGTTTGAAGAAGGTGTCCCTTTGCAGTCAGCCGCGGGCACTGCGAGCGGCCGGGCACGCGGCCGTCTGCGGGAGGGCGAGGGCGCGCGGCGGGCGGGTCCGCTGGGGCCGGGCTCCCAGAAGGTGGCTCCACCGGCTGCGGCGCCCCCTGGCGGCGGCGTCGGGGCGGCCAGAGCGCGCGGCCCGGGAGGTGCCCGGCTGCCCCCCTGCCTGGCCGGCGCCGCCGCGTCACCCTCGGATATGGTCAGCCGCCCGGGCCGAGCCCGTCTGCGCAGACGACTTTTAATCGCTAAGGAGCTTTCCGAGACGCTGCTTTTTGCAAGGCCCAGTGGCTTCTCTGACGCACTTCGCGACTCCGAGCCTCCGAGCACGCAGCTTGTGGGCGCTGGCAGGGCGCTGGCGCGCAGACGGCCGCCCGGCGGCGTCCCCTGAGGGCTGCGGGGGCCAGGGGCGCTTTCCCTACTCGGCTCCCTTGTCACTCTCCTGGGGACCTTTCTGCGGAACTTTGAACTTCCGGGATTGGCCCGCCCGCGTAGGCGATTCCTCAGCCGCAGTCTGTGGCCGAGGTGGGTGGCCAAGGGGTGTGGCTGAGGCCGGTGCCGGGGCTCGGCCCTTTAAACTTTTTGTTTTTTAAACTTCGGGGGTGTGGCCGAGGCGCCTCCTCTCTCTGAGGCTGGCTGCCCCCCACCCACCGGGTCCTGCCCTCAGCCCCGCCTTCCAGATGCTTTGGAGTCATGAGTCGGGAGTGCGCGGGGTCCCCTCTGGTGGTGGAGGTGATCAAAGGTGAGTGCGGGAGGGCGCGGGGTCCCCTCTGGTGGTGGAGGTGATCAAAGGTGAGTGCGGGAGGGCGCGGCGCTTCCCCATCCCTGCGCCCCTCAGGCACTCGCTCCCGCTCCCGCCGGCCAAGGGATGCCTTCCTTTTAACTTTGGGGCCGGGGCTGATGCTGCCTGGCGGGCGTGAGTGGCCTCCGGGACTCCCAGTCCACAGCCGGCTTTGAGGTGACCCCGCACCTGTGTGTGGTTGTGACCCTGGTGTGCTTACCCCCGCGCCTGGGAGGTGAACTGTGCCTCTCCACCCACGGGAGCAATATCTCTGGACACGGTACAGGAGTATCAAAGGTCGTTTGTGGTTGGAAAGAAGCCTTGCCACCCGTTTGATTATTTGTGGTTGGGAGAAATTTTAGTCAGGCAGTTTACAAGGAAATAAATGCAGCAGTCGCATGAGTTGAAGGCAAAAAAGTTTAAATTACCATTTGGGGAAAGAATGCCAGGTGGCGTCCTTTGTTTCTTATCGTGAGCTGTGCTGAAAGAATATGTATTTTAAAGGCTACACTTGATTTTGCCACGTCTTGAGTGTATTTTCCTAGCACTACTAGTATTACTATTAGATATTGTGGATGACTTTGTTTCACCAAAAGTTTTTAGGCAACTTTTTTGGGGGGCAGGGGAGAGTGTAGAGCATTACTACTTGTTACCATTCCTGCTAAACCTCACAGCAGCCTAACTACGTTTATGCAACCCAAGCTCATTTCAGACTCCTCATGCAGAAACCTCTCATTGCTGCTGTTTTAATGGCAATTTGTCTAATTGTAAAAATACCAAAGTAGTGATTCCAAATTTTAAAAAATAGCGATCCTAAGAACAGTTGGATTAACATATGGTTTGTTTTGTTGTGTTCTATAGCTGTAAACAGTAATTTTGAAGCAGTTTTGAAAGCATTCTTTCTCTTTACTTAAAAGATATTATCTTACTGAGATGACTTTTAGGGATGTCTTGAAAACATAGCAAAATTCATCTAGAAAGTTAATATAATGCAGATGGCTAGCCATCAAATGCATGCTTCCATTTGCTGAAATTTCTTAGTCTAGGCAGACTAAAATTTAATGAGAGGTTCATTCAAAAATCATACTATATCACTACATGAATAGTCACCTAATGAAATTTACAGTTAAAGGCAGTTTCCCCTTTAAAAATTTTGTTTATTTATTATTACCCACCAAATAGTCAGAATATTTTGTAATTACTCATTGCTGCCCTTACCATCTGAAACATGCATGCAAAAAATAAAAATTTGGCTTCATCTGAAAAGAGTTTCATCATGGTATATGAAACGTGTTTTAATAACCCAGAGGAAGGAACATTGCAATTTTTCCATTTCAGATCGCCTTTGTTTTGCCATTCTCTACAGCAGACCAAAGAGTGCATCAAATATACATTATTTCAGCATAGATAATGAACTTGAATATGAGAAGTAAGTATATTGCTTTTTAAAAGATTGTTAGTAACTTTTATTTTGACGAATCTAAAGTCATATTTATAAAGAAGGTAGCCTTGGGAAATGATAAATCTATTGATTGTTAATTGCAGGATCCTTTTCTTAACCTTTGGTAATAAAATAGATTTTGGGGGTGGGGAAATTAAAATGAAAGAACTTTCCTTAACTTAAACATTTAGATTTGGTCTTTTAATAGTTTACAATGAGATACAAATGTGTACTAAGATATTGTGTTTTTGCCAGTGGAAAATATGTGTTGAAAAACAACTTTTTAAATAAAGAAGGCATTTTCATGTTAATTGAGATTAGATTTAGGCATTGCAGCACTTGTTGCATTTTTTAATAGGCATTGTTTACCAGAATATTTCTTCCACTAGTAAAGCAGTACCGTTAAATTGTATGGTCCATAACAATTTGGAATATACTTTCCTGTCTTAATTTGATCGTGTAGCCAAAAAAGGCATTTATATTTATAGCATCTAGAATATACATACACGTTTTTATTTTTCATTTTTAAAGCTTCTACGCAGATTTTGGACCACTCAATCTGGCAATGGTTTACAGATATTGTTGCAAGATAAATAAGAAATTAAAGGTAAAGTCCTTTTTACTTAAGATTTGACTTGAGTAATCATTGTTAGCTCGATCTTGGGGAGAAAAGTAAGGAAATCGTATCACTATTTTTAAAAAGGAAATGCCATGTTTTTCACTGCAGTGGTTTTTGGGACACACGCATGGCTTTTTGTTTTATAAAGTCATAGTGTATGTATGTTTTCTAGAGTTTGAATGAGCAGTGTAAGTTTGGATCATTTGGTTCTGGTTTGAGTTGGTGATGCTCAAATACTTGAAAAGCCAAAGTAGGAATTGATTAATTACATGAACCTCTTACTGTCTGACCTAATGGAATTGAAACCTAACAAGGGAAGCTCTTCCCTTGCTTTGGTCATTGTTCTTCCTGCCTTCACTTTGATAGGGAGAGGTAGCAAACTAACCAGAAAAATTAACTCATCTCACTTTCTCTCTGATCTTGAAACTTCCATGGTATTTTACTAGTTGTGACTCTTCACTTTGACCCTTCGTTTACATATAAGGGGCTTGAGAAGTGAAGGCAAATAGCATGTGCTTAAGACTGTGTCACTGAGGGTTAACAGAAGTGTATTTCTATTGGTTTGAACTTAGACCCTGTTCATTTATTTATAGCACTTTGAATTACTGGTCACGTACAATAGGAAATGTTTATGTACTGCTTGCTAGCAGTTCCAAATTAGTCACTATAAATTCTCAGGTAGAAAATACTGCCTTTTGGAACAGGTGCTTTTTGAAAAACAACTTTATTTAGTTGATTACTTACCAGACTACTACACAGAAGAAATACAATTTATTATTAATTAAAAATTTATCTTATTTTGATTAAAAAATTATAGCTAACACAGATTTTTTTCCCTTGAGCATTAAAAAGTATTCACTACAACTTTATACAGAGATGGAGACTCTTCTTTCTGATCTCTCCTAAACAGTAATATAAACATTTATGGCCTTGTGTATTTGGGTTTCCTCCCTCCCTTTTTCCAGTTGCCAGTAGCAAGTCTTTTGTTTCATACAGGGCTGGGAAGTTAAAAATAATTCCTCCTTTCCCCTTTTTGTTTCTTTGCTTTAATTTTGAAAGATTTTTTTTTTTTTCCTGTGCTCAGCTGTCTGTGGACTTTTATCCTTGGATAAAAGGATGGCATTTTGGTGGACCAAAAGTGTATTAGTCCTTTCCTCCCCATCATTTACAAGAACAACTTGTAACATGTTATTAATAACTGTCTGACCTGATTAAAACATTTTCTATTCAATTAATAGTGATAAAGCTATATGGAGAGTTTGAAAGGAAAGTGTCTTGTGCTTGTGCTGGTTGGGTTTTGGGGATTTATTTATTTATTTAGACTAGTCAAGTGAAGCAGTGGGAGTGGAGAAGGAACAAAGAAATTTGTAACTGGTTGTGATCCATTAGTTGTAAACACTAATGCACTCTGGCCAGCCTGGGTTTTGTTTTTTTGTTTTCAAATAAATTTGGATCTCATATTCCATGTAAACAACTAAGGGGAAATATGTGCACCTTTATCATTGAAACACTGGAACATTAAAATACCAAAGCATTGACTTAGACTAGCCAAGAAATATGTGCTTATCCTGTTCCTTATCCTGACCTGTATCTATTTCTATTCAGATTAGTGAAATACAGCTGGGCAAGTGCTAACTAATCGTGTGCTCCTTTTATTTTAAATTCCATATCATTTTTAACTTTTTATTGAAGTACATGCATACATGCTGAAACGTGCATATCATGAATGTGGAACTCAATGAATTTTCACAGACTGAATAGACATGGGTAATTATCTTGATCATCAGATCTAGAACAGAAGGTTAGCAGCACCCTGGGGGAGCCCACTTGTGCCTTCTCTCAGTTACAGTTATTCACTGTCCTGATTTAACAGCATGGATTAATTTTGTCCTGTGCTGTATACCTTTTTTGTTTTAATTGAAAAGTTTTTATGACAGATTTTTTTCAAAAATCAAAACAGTAGGAAAAGGAAAGAAAAGGTCTCTCCCACCACCCTTTCCAGCTTCTCATGTGTTCTTTCAGAGGTAGTCCATGCTTAATGCCTGTGGTCCCTGACCCCCCAAACCCTACTGGCGGTGGGTACTGGTCTGTGGCCTGTTAGGAACCAGGCCTCACAGCAGGAGATGAGCGGCTGGCAGGCCAGCTCGAAGTGCTTCTTCTGTATTTATAGTTGCTCCCTCCCCCGTCCCCCAGTCCATGGAAAAATTGTCTTCCGTGAAACCATCCTGGTTACAAAAAGGTTGCCACTATGCGTCTATATTCGTGTCTCTTCCCCTCTACCTTTAATTGTATGTTTATTCTCATGCCAGAAAATGTCTTTTTGAGGAAGGTACATGGTATTTTTCAGTATCAATGTTAATCTTTTTAAAGGTCTTGCTAATGTGAATGTTTATATGTATGAGTTTGGAATTTGTCTTCATCAAGACAAATTTTAGAAAACTTGAAATTAAAAAGAAAATACTAACAGCTATCTATTTTTATGCAGTCCATTACAATGTTAAGGAAGAAAATTATTCATTTTACTGGCTCTGATCAGAGAAAACAAGCAAATGCTGCTTTCCTTATTGGATGTTATATGGTAAGTATTTACTTTCCTAATGTTTTAGTGAAAATGCTCCCAACAGTAGTTCTTTACATTTGTGATGGGAATTTTGAAATTACTTTTCCTAATAGAATGGCTTGACTTCTTTTCAGAAAGAACATGTTTTGATTTTTAAAAATTGGCCAATTCAGGGAGGCTGTGCTTATGTGGGGGAAGGAAGAGTATATGGGAAATCTCTGTGCCTTCTTCCACTTCTTTGCTGTGAACCTAAAACTGCCCTAAAAAAAGTTTATTTAAAAACAAATTTGTCCAACTACTGTGAAAAAAGTTTGTGTTATGGCTCTTAGGGTTAGAAAATAATTCCCCAATGCAATTTTTATTAATTCGTGATTCATTTAGTGAGTTGTAAAATCGTTTTACTAGGGACAGGATCAGTATTGATTACAACAAAAATAAAAGTACAATATATGAATGCTTTATAAAATTTGAATATAGGTTAGGCAGTTTTTTCTAACTAAGGTCATCCCTATTTTCATCAAAACATCTAGCAGGAAGACATGGCGTGTCAGTAGGAAAGTGGGTGAACATACATTGATTACATACACCATGATGTGCTATGTGCTCTATTTGGATCATTGGAAGTATGCTGGAATAACAGTATTTACATAAGAGTTACGAGTTTCATTTATTGGTCATTATCTTTGTTTTTTTTTAAAGAGTCAACCAGGCTGAGCATAGTGGCTCATGCCTGTAATTCCAGCACTTTGGGAGGCTGAGGTGGGAGAACTGCTTGAGGCCAGGTATTCTAGACCAGCCTGGGCAACATAGTGAGACACTGCCTCTACAAAAAAATTGAAAAAAAATAAAGAGTCAAACTTTGTCTATGACCTAGTGAATTTATCTGTGGGAGAACCTAAAGCTGCAGTTATTTGAGTCAGCTAAGAGCTCCTCCAGCATAGGAACCCCCAATCTCTTTGGTGGTAAGGAAGCTAGCTACTCTGTTCAGTGGAGAAGCAATAGCTAGGGGATTTTTCTTCCACTCCTGTACCACCCTGGGTATAATAGTTATTGTCCTAGATAAAATTTTAAAATGGGTTTTTTGGGGAGCTCTTTAGGTAAGTTCTTTCTTCCTCACTTCCAGCTTGCCACTTGACCCTGTCATGCCTCCCCCCTTTTAAAAATTATTTTCTGGAATTAGTGTGATAATCTGAAATTTACAAAGATTAGACCAAAAGTTGGTGGTACTAGTTGAAATTGCACCTCAAAATTTAACAATGTTCTTTTTTATATTTAAGGTATATCATTAACAGCGATTAAGGTCTTTTTTGTTTGTTTTGTTTTCTTGTTTGTGCTCACAAAAGTAGTTGAATGAAGTTTTGCTGAGAAAGCTTTAAGTTTTATTAGTATCATCCCCGAAAGTATGAAACACAGGTTATAGATTATATCTGTTAAAATTTGGTTTCTAAAGCTTATCCAGATGTGGTGTTGGTTTCTTTGGTGTTTCTTGTGCTTGCAGTAAAGTCCTTTAAAAAAAAAAGAAAGAAAAGAAAAAGAAAAGTCTATGCGGGCCCCAAGAAAGAAAAAGAGAGTACGGAGAGGTGGGTGTTTTAACTGGGACATTTGGTCCCATTATTTGGCCAGTCACTGAGGAGGGGAACCCCGTGGACTAAAGTAAATCATGACGGCTTTATAGAAAAAGGGACATAACCAGAATTCTTGGGGTTCATACGGTATTAAAGGGACCTCTGGAAAAATGGCCCTTGGTGTGACAGTTAAAAGTTCTAACCCTTCCTTGTGGGTCTTTCCTTCATGTGCTGGGGAGAAAATCTGGATGCCTGAGCGGTCGTGTCTGAGAGGCAGTGCTCCTGAGCACAGCTCCCAGAGCAGCCGGCCTGGCCTGGGCTGCTTCTGGGTCAGTCATGTTTCTTCTGGTCTGATGAGATGTTTTTGAGACGGCTGGGTCTGTGAGGAGCCAGGTGCGGTGACTTCATTGTAAAGAACTCCTCAGAAGGTGTCTGTGGGTGTGGTGCGAACTCAGAGTCGTCTTAAAAACAAAAACAGAACACTTGATAATTTTATAACTAAGAAATCATTCTTTTAAAATTTTGAATACTAGTGACAACTACTTTGGAATATTTATTCAAAATTTGTTGGCATATTTGTTTGCAGTTTGGTGTTGGCCTTTTGACTTTGTTCATGGTTGTATTTTGGCATATGGGAAGTTAATTTTTCTGTAGGTAGCGTAAGATTTAGAAACCCTTGCAAGATTTTACACTTTTGGGGTAGTGCTGATTGGATTGGTTAGGAAAGTGCAAAGTAAGCAAATCTGGACATTTGCTTGCTCATTACAAGCCAGGTCGGAAGTTGGCAGAAGGATTGCATCTCTTGGCTGAGACAAAAGCCTTTGCAGGCATCGCTGGCTGGCTGAAGTACGCAGGACGCAGGAGAAAAACTTCTAAGAAAAGGAAATTTATTAAAAGTAGGAAAGTAGTGGCAAGATGGCAAGATACAATATGGATGCCTCAAAAGATAAGCATCAAAGTAGGGGAAGCTTTGATCTGGTTGAAGACTATTAAATCCTGTGTTTAAAGATTTGTAGGGATGGGTGGTAATTCCCTGTAAGTTGATCTGCAGCTTTGATAACCTTTTCTGGAATTGTCAAGGAATTCTGGAAACAGTAAGGCTTTTTAGTGATTAACTTGGCATGGTAATGTTAAAACAAAAGCAAAAAATCTGGAGAAAGAATCCTTAGAAAGGAAATAGTCCAAATGGACTGACTCTATTTATCTTTCTCTCTCCTTTTAGACTCCAAGCTTCTGAAAGGAATCATGTTCCATTCATTCTTCTGTATTAAAAAGGACCTAATGTGGGGTGGGGAGAGGGTGTGAGATAATCTTTTGGGGTTTGGGAATAAGTGTTAGTACTTCTGTTTATTTTTCATTTTCGAAGCAGAACAGGTAAGGCTCACAAATACTTAAAATATGGATTGGGATTGGGATTGATGTGTCAATTGTGGATTAGTCCTTTCATCCTTTCATCAGATGGTTCGGCATGGTGTGTCATAAGAAAAGAGTAGTGAATTGACTATTCATTTGTCTTGAGTATATTTCAAAGTGTTGCACTTCCTATGGTCTGATAAATGACTTTACCTAGTCAACTATCTGAAGGTAGAATCTTAGATAACAAATTAGAGTGAAGCTAAAACCTTTTTGCACCATTGTAAAAGAGTTGAAGAATATAAAAGATAGCTACAGTTTTGTGTGTGTGTGTGTGTTTATTTTATTTTTTTTTACAAAAAGATAAATGTATCATATCAGTTTACAAAATGATAGGGTTGCTGCCCTGTTCTGTGATAAGTCAGGGGCTGTTACCAAGCCAGATTTTGGGTGGTAGTACTTATCCTATCATTTCAAAGTAAAGATGAAATTTTAAGTGGAAAAGTAGATGCTTTTCTAGACATTCATAGTTAAAAGAGTCCTTTGAAAATAAAAGTTTGAAATTCTCTTTTGTCATTTTGTTGTAAAAATGTCATGTACGAAATCTGTATTTGCACTCTTAAAATTTAGAAAAATCTCCGTTAAAAAAGCTTTTATATTTATACAAGCAGGACATGTACACATGTATGTATGTGTACATGCTATATGTTTTATGTTTACCAATTCAGTTTTTTACATTTTTTTATTGGTACATCATAATTGTACATATTTATGGGATATATATGGTATTTTGATATATGCATGTAAGATGTAATGACCAAATCGGCATAATTGGAATATTCATCACCATTAACATTTATCATTTCTTTGTGTTGGGAACATTCCAAATCTTTTTTCTAGCTATTTTGAAATATACAGTAGTTGTTATTAACTGTAGTCACCCTACTGTGCTATTGAACACTTGAACTTATTCCATCTATCTGTATGTTTGTACCCCTTAACCAACGTCTCTTCATCCCCATCTTCCTTCCCAGCCTCTAGTAACCCTCATTCTACTCTCTACCTCCATGAGACCAACGTTTTTAGCTCCCACATGTGAGTGAGAACATGTGATATTTGTCTTTCTGTGTCTGGTTTATTTCACTTAACATAGTGACCTCCATTCATGTTGCTGCAAATGACAAAATTTCATTTCTTACTTATGGCTGAATAATATTCCATTGTACATATATATACACCATATTTTCTTTATCCATTCATCTATTGATGAACACTTAGGTTGATTCCATGTCCAATATAGTTTTATCAACTGCTTTTTTCCGTTAGTGATGATCTTGTCTTCCATTTTAGTACAGGTTTTATCATCTTTTTATTTTTTTTTTATTTATTTTACTTTTTGAGACAGGATCTCGCTTTGTTACCTGGGCTAGAGTACAGGGGTGTCATCATAGCTAACTGCAACCTCAAGCTCCTAGGCTTTAAGGGATCCTCCTTGCCTCAGCCTCCTGAGTAGCTGGGACTACAGGCGAGCACCCCATGCCTGGCTAATTTTTCTATTTTTGGTAGAGACAGGGTCTCATTCTTGCTGGGGCTGGTCTCAAACTCTTGACCTCAAGTGATCCTCCCAAGGCATCAGCCACTGTGCCCGGCACATGTTTTCTCATCTTTATACTCAGATTATATTCATATTTCCTCAATTGGTCCAAAATATCGAAACCAGTATTTAAATCTAGGACCATACATTGCATGAGGTTGTTGTGTCTTTAATCTGTCTCTCTCTCTCTCTCTCTCTCTCTCTCTCTCTAACATGGTCCCTTTTTGATAATACTGATTTATTCAAGAGACCAGCCCTGTTGTTTTGCAGAATGTTCTACCTTTTAAATTTTTCTGGTTTCTTCTTTTTTGTGGTATCCTTTAACTTGTTTCTCCATTCTCTATATTTCTTGTGAACTGAAAGTTTTATCTAAAGGCTTATGCATCAATATTGTGTGCTATAACACGTCAGAAAGCATATAATAACTAAATTACCATTAATGACACTAAAAATGACCACTGGATTAGGTGTCAGCCACTGAATCCCTTCAATGTATGGTTTCTTGT